ATAATAAAATTTGTGAGAAAATGCATAAAATAAACAAAGAACAGCATCCACGAAAGAAAAATCAGCCTTGAGACGCCAAAATCGACGAGATGCGGGGTCAAAAATGTAAAAAATCAAGATTTTTTAAAACAGACAAGCGCAAAAAGCAACATTTTGCCTCACTTGATTGCGTGAAGAAAACTTCCCCTCGTGTCGGTGAGTGGATAAGCTGCGAGTTGAATTATTCACAAATCAATTTGACGTGTTCCGGTTGCTCATCGTGTATACTTTGCAATAAGGCATTTGAAGAAATTTGACAAGGAAGCAGTATCTGGAAGAACTTCGCAGCCGTCTTTGCCCTTAAGCTGCCACCAAACATAACGCATTCGAATCTGCAACATAATTTTCCACTTTCCTAATAGATTCATGTTGGATCTCGATGCTTAGTGAATTCGAATTGTATAAATGTAGAAGCTTAATAATTAATGTTAGATTTCGGTACTCAGTTGTTTCTCCGCGACCATATAAATAGACCGATTTGGTCTCAAATGATTGACGCACGGGATGTTACTGCAGGAAACTACAATCCCATGGATGAGGCATATTGCTTGCGTCGTCAACAACTTGCTAAAGTCGCGCATTGGTGAGAGGTTTAACGTCTATCGTAGTCATGAAAAGCTCAAGAATTTCCAGCTCCCTCCTAGATTGCTTTTGAAATTATAAACGTAAGCACAAAATTGCAACGTTAGACTAAAAACATTGACGTGGGTTGATCTTGCCCCAGCCTTCGTTTTAACTTCCTGACTCTGGCCGTTCCGAATTTTGATTTCTTTGGACCGTCCAATTCTTTTAAAGTTAAGATTCTGCCTTCTACGGGCCGCAATTTATTAATGCAGAATTCCTCCCGAAGTTTAAAAAAGCTAGTCCGTGAAATGCACAAATCTGGTGGTGAGTTTCAACTGCAGAGATGTAGTCCAGTACTAAAAGGCCTGATAAAAATGTGACAGTCTTGTGCGTGTGCATTCCAGTAATATCACCAGCACTGAATTCCCAGACTGAGTGTCTGAGCGCTCATGGCAATCTAGTGAACCCAGGATGCAAAGCACCAGGCTTGCCAGTGTGATCATGCGTTTCTGTGTTAAACTTGCAGATCGCTAACAGCAGGAATGGTCTTTACGCCGCGGTTTATGAGTTAGACTGACAATGGCTGTGCCTTTTCCTGCATGTAAGGAGGAAGGGGCGCCGGCTGGGACGAAGGTGTTGCATCATGGGACCGCATGAATCTCCAGCGCACATGATTATCAGTTTTTTGCATGAATACTGCTCGAACACACACATACACACACGGATGACCTCTCGACAATATGCGTTTTTGCTCGCTGTAGCAACGCCATAGCAGTTCACAGAAAAGATGCCTAAAAATGTAAAATTCACTTCGAACATACCAAAATCCTCAGCTTCAGTTCGTTGATCAATGCATTTGCTAGCTTATCATTTTTCATTTTCAACAACACATCATAACTTAGCCCTCGTTTTTTGATCTGAATTGTAAGTGGATAGCTGATACTGTCATCGTCCACAATCGCATAATTCACACAGTCAGATTTTTCCACACTCATTCCAGTAATCCATTGCAGCAAAGCTGCTTCTGATAGCTGCTTATCACAGAGTAAAAATACCAACGCTTCCGGTAAAGTCAATTTTTGCTCCTGTAAAATATTATTATTTTTAACAATAATTCAAGCAGATTTCGTCCGCTGGCAAGACTATCGATAGCTTCTTCTTTCGAAAATTACTTCGAAGCAAGCTGGTAACAAATTTGCCTGTTTGGCATGCAACGGTACCGGTTTATTATCGAAATCAATGAACAAACCGTAGAGGAAGCAGCCGTTTCATTGGCGCAGTTGAAAATCCGATCTTTGGCCCGAGAGTGATATTATATGCCAACTATGCTGGGCCCCCAGTTACGTGACAATAAAACCCAGAGAGAAGGCAATACAAATACAGCTCAAAGATGAAAAACAGAAAGGCTACCAAGTCATTGTACATAAAGGCTTGCTTATTTGGGAGATCTAAATGGCATTTCTGGGTTTTTTCATTAATTATCAAAATTCGATTATGTCCCTCACCACGATAGTGGACCAGTAACGCCAAAAAAACTGCATATGTTAACGCGTAGACGCGATTTCAGACCCCTATTTAAGGTTATGTGAAAATTTTGTTAGAAAATGTGGAAATGGATGATAGGAAGGGTCAAAAAAGAGTCAAAAAGGGAAAGATGTAAAAAGAAGTAATAAATTAGATAAGAAATGTTTCGGTCCATTAACTCGTATACATTTCTCACCATTACCATAGTTGGACCTCGTCAGTACGACGACTGTGATAACAATATATTTTTTAGTTAAGAATGAAAAGTAATTGAGATGGAAAAGAATCTCTTCCAATTTCCTAGCCAGGGATATTCATTGTTTTATATCTTTAAAATTTCTACAACACTTAAAAAGAGTAGCAAACACATACTTCTTCGACTCGACTGTACAGGACAGCTCGATCAGCCGAATTTTCAGGCATCTTTGCTGTTGACACAGACATATCCCAGTGGGTAAAATAAACGGGTTCAAGAGCAAGTCGAAAAGCACATGGTTCCCTGTTGCTGGATAAGTGAAAACATTTGAACAGCTGTGTTCGGAAAAGCAATGGAATTCGCAAATGATCACTGCAAAACACCTGAAAATTGTTGCTAAATTGAGCATTCGTCAAAATATCCCGCAGAAATATTCCTCTCAAACGTAGCTTCAAATATAGTTAGTAAATTTTGAAAACAAAAATACCAAAATCACCCGGAAATGGGGTTGAAAAAAGGCGGAAACAAAAAAATTTTATGCAATCGATCTTTCTCCTTAAGTTTGAATGAACGAAGGCTTTGCTGGACAAAAATCAGGGTGAGTACCTTAGTAAATAGGCTAACATCATGGACCTTCAAAAGGATGGTGCAACGGGAAAAAAGAACTTGCACAAAAATCTCTCAACGTGTCCATGTTGGTAGCATTAGACGGATCCAGGACGGACTCCTGAGAAGGGGAAGGCGGAGGGGGAGGGAGTGACGGCAGGTGAGGAGGAGAGTCCCCTCCCGCCCTGGAACTATACAAAAACTAGGAGCAAAGTTATAACTCAGCTACTTATAGAGATACTTTAGACTTTACTTCAGCTTTAGTTTTAGACCCAGGTTTTCGCAGCACTGGTGCCTGTGTCACTCAAAAGAGAGGGGGG